TTGACCCAAAAATGGCAATAACGTGAGGTTCATGGTTCGAAGCCTCTGACATGGAAAGAAGCGTAGTCTAAGAGTCCTTCAGGACAACTTTGAACGAAATCCTATACTTGATGAGAACATAATTCAGTGACAGAGAGTACTTCAAGGAACTCATTAACCCCCAGAAACAGCAAAACTCGCCTGAAAGGCAGCAGACAAAGGAAATGAGCTTTTTTCGCAAAATCTCTAAAAACGTGGAAAAATGGCACACCTACTGGAATCAATGAAACGCGCCCAGAAATGATTACAGTTTTAGGCGAATAACGCATGTACTGGTTTATAGTGTCTGTCAAACTGCAATAACTACGTGGAAGATCAGCGGACTCGAGAACGAGGCTTATGGCACACCTGCTCAAGAAGGCAGATATTAAGGAACGCTCCAGTTATCCAGGAATTACCTTGTTGAGCCTTCCGGGAAAAGTCGACGCAAAGGTGTCAGAAAAGATGTTGCAGAGTAACTGACTCAAAAATACAACAGCGGTGTGCCTTTTGGTCCGGCCGAAACACATCTGACCAGACTGTTGAGAAATCATGGGAGTTCAGATATCCGGTGTACATGTTTTGAATACCTAAAGAAAGTCTATGACCGAGTATCGCAGAAAATCATCGGGCGTGTCTATGAACAAATGGGATCGATGGCCAGTTCTAGAAGCCGCTTGACCAATATATGCTGATAGCAGGTGCTGCATCAGAGTAAATAGCGTCAAGTAGAAATCATTCAACGTTCACACTGGTCTCCGCCAAGGCTGCGTCCTGTCCTCTATCCTATTTGTGTTGTACATGGACAGAATAGACAGGAGCAGCCAAGGCGATCACTCTATCGGTAGAGGAGATGCGGAGACGAGAAGGTTACTGTTTGCAGACGGCCTTGTTTTATTGCCATTTTCTAAAACCAATTTTTAGTGCTCCGTAGAAAGATTTGCAGCCAAATGCGATGTGACCGGCATGCGTGTGAACGCATTTAAAACGAAAAGCCTAATGCTTTCTCGTTCTCCTGCTCGTTGCTATCTTCAGATTAACGGAGAGGCAGTGGAGCAGGTGGAGGAATTCAAGTACCTCGGAGTTGTATTTACTAGTGATGGAAAATTGGAGGAAGAGATCGACCGACGAACTAATGTGACTAAACCAGAGATGAGTCTGAAAACTAAGCTCTCGGTATTCAAGACGATCCTTAACCCTATACTTACATATGGTCATCAATCGTGGACTGTCACTGAGAGGTTTCGATCTCGGG